TTGGTAGTTGTGTTTCATTTCTTGATCTTCTCATCAACAATAAGAATGGTGTTTTATTCACATCTGTCTATCATAAACCAGCAGCAGAACCCTGTGTTGTACCATTTATTTCTGATCATCCTCGTCATGTATTTTCGAATATTATTCAAGCTGCTCTTCTTCGAGCTCTACGTTATTCAACGACATTGGACATTTTTGAAAAGGAACGTCGTTCTATTCGATTGATGTTGCTCTATAATGGGTAAGTCTCTCTATCGACAACATTCATTTTTTAATTATTTGTCAAATTTCTTTACTATAATATACATCGGTTAGGTATCCATCCAGGTATATTGATACAAATTTCAGAAAATTCTTCGATCGATCATTGTCAAAATCATCTATGATACCGTTCATCGCCAACGAGAATCAATTTTTAGTTATGAGAAATACTTTACTACCTAAACTGACTGTCAAAGAACGAGAAACACAACATAGAATTGCAGCTTTTTCATTCGACGAAGAGATTGACAATCAAAATACAAAAGAAAAAACAACGGGCAGCAGTACAATTTCAAAACAAAACAAGCCGACTAAATTCGCAAACACTCTCTTTCTTCATTATACACATGAAAAACGACTACATAGTCTGAAACGTGATATACATAAGATTTATTCAGAAATATTTCAAAATACAATAGGAATAGATTTTCGACTAATTGTTGGACATCGAAATCATCGTAACACTGGACATGAGTTAGTTCAAAAACGACCACCTCCAACAATGTTAAAACCAATCCCACTTCCCGGTAAGATTTTTCTTGTTTATCCAAAACTTTCTCCAATCTTCAATCTCACTTTGTTTCAGATACCATAAAACAGAAACATAAAAGACGCCTCGTCAATTGATCCATATCGAATTATGTACAGTCACCTTATTCCACTGTCATTCTTCCACATCATACCAATTCCCAGATCAAATCAAAACTTCTAATCAACAAACAAATGACACCGACTACAGAACTGAACATCCAACTTCTCTCCTGTTCAGTGAAAACAAAATCACACTTTCCGCTTAAATTATTTGTTCATTTTTTTTCTGTATTCTTCCAGTACCCCATCGATTTTCATAATTAAACTTCATCAGCTTTTCCATTCTAGATATACAGATTTACACATCAAAATTGAAACTCTTCGACCTTCTACTACTCATTATGAAAATATTCTAACACAAAATCATTACAATATGACACGACTACCGACTTTCCACTAGACCAACATCACACACACGGTAACATAACTTTCAAAAAAACAAGGTAAATTTGAAAACAATTCATACCCACTTCATCCATCTATCAAACTACTTTTTAGTGAAGAAGAATAAACTTCACTCATAGATTTGAAATACTTCGGACTTGGTTCAAGAATTTTATGTTTTGAATTTAAATTGATTTTGAAGATATTAAGCCACCTGATGAGACTGACTAAGCATCAGTCGAAACGCGTCGTGGTAGCTTTCTACACACCCATTTTCCTTCATTGGATTGTGGTTACCTTGATCATTCTATTTCTTTGGAATAGAACAGTGTCAAGTTGTCTTTAGTTGATTTTGTTCAAAATTTTATGTTTTGAATTTAAATTGATTTTGAAGATATTAAGCGACCTGATGAGACTGACTAAGCATCAGTCGAAACGCGTCGTGGTAGCTTTCTACACACCCACACTCACACCCTTTTAGTTTTGAATTTTATTATTTAAAACTTGAATAGATTAAGCCATCTGATGAGATCCTTAAGCAAGATCGAAACCGGTCATGGCAGCTTCTTCACACCCACACTCTATCCTTTCAGCAGAGGATTGGCGACGCTAACGTCGCGCTATCTTGCCAGCTCTTTTCAAATACACTTGAAAATTAAATGATTTTAATAAAAAAGAGAAACGATTTAATGAAATTAACCTAATTGTCAGATGCATGAAAGTTTCTGTTGCAATCTATATCTAAGTACTGAAAATTTTTCAATCCGACCCTGACCCGAAACCGTTGAGACAAATTTTGTAGACTCGGACCTGGACCCGATGAGCTCTAAGTTCAGGTCATGGTACATTTACCCATGCGTTTATATTCATTGATGCATGAATGCGTGATCTGTAGGGAAAAAAATAGTATATTTTGTTATGCATTCATCTGATTCCCATTATGAAAATCAATTAATTGTGAACAAAATAATTTGAAAGTATGTTACGATTTCTAATCAGGATTACGACGATAAGGTGGGACATAAGGACGAGACGCTGCGTCATCCTTTTTCGTAGATACATTCTGCGTCGTAGAATTTCCATATCTGTTATTTGTTTTCATTCGTTGTTGTTGTTGATCGTTGTTATAATCTCTAGTTTCTTCTTTTTTGGAATTACTGACGTTCGTTAGCGATGACGATATAATTCTGCACCGGTAGGTCTCGGGGCTTCTGTCTAATTTATGAAAATTGTCACTCCTATGTATAAAAACAAATTCAATGAATATAATAATGCAACATATTATAGATGAACGCATTATGTCATACCAATTAAATACAGTACCAAAAGCGATTTTTTCAGCATCAAGACAATTTTCTATAACGACAATAAAATATGCTTCATGCTCTCGTCTTTGCGAATCATCGACAATCGATTGACACATGTATAGCTCATTCTGAGAAATATAAAATCGACTATGTGTTTCATTAAACGATCCACTAGTGCCTTTGACTTCAAAATAACATAATTTTGTTGTCGACCCTGAGCCGCGAACGAACAATTGCCGAGTATCATGCAATTCAAAATCAAAACCAGTTGAATCATCAACAGTTTGTCGATATTTTGGATAAGTAGTCAGACGTGATGATGAACGCCAATTTTTGGTCGGTGTTACATCTGCTGAACCATAAAGATTCTGTAGATAGACGAAAAAGAAATGCTCTGCATTTTGACCAATACGCATTTGTTCAATACCGTCAACAATAGATGGATCTTTCCAATCGTTTATTGTCTTTCTACTTCTTTGTGAATGATCTTGTGTTTTTACTCTATGTCGATAAATTTGATCTTCAGCAATACGATCAGCAGCAATGACACTTCTGGTAGTCTTTTCGATATCCTTTTCAATGGTAGTATTTTTTCCTATCGAAATAATTATTGACTCGACATAATTATGATCAGTAGGAAACAACATGTCAGTAAATGAGTAGATGGTAGCTCCTGTGCAAGTAACAGATGCCATATTTTCGGAACGAAATGCTTTGCATTTACTTATGTTTTTTTGAGCTATGGATTTCGCTTCTTTGAATGGTATATGCTTTCGTTTATGCAATAGAGTAGTTAATGCAGATATTGCACGAATTTCTCTTGAGGCATCCTTGTCTTGTTGTTCATTGCAAAGAAGAATTATATTGTTAAATACCCAGAAAGGATAATTGCTATCGAACCAATATCGTTTGCTTTCCTTTATTCTGTTTTCAGTGGTTGAGTCAATTACGAAAGAATCGGGAAGAAAAAGACCTACAGTTGCATATACTGCTGAAACTACTTCCAAATCTTTGTCATCAAGAGTAGCACGAAATATTTGTGTCAATTCGTTCAAATAAGTCTCGGGATTATTATGTCCATGTAGCCATTCAATTTTGCCTTTACGCTCAATGTAATCAATACCAAATGTTGCTAAAACTAATGGGCATGTGCGAGCAATCGATGGCAACATAAAGTAACATTGAAGAGAATCTCGTGATAAGTTTTGAATAATTTTAATTTCTAAGCAGGCATATATAGTTGTATCTATTTCTTTGGAAATAATTTGTCTATTAAATGTAACAAAGCGGATCTTTTTTCGTTGTGATTGTATACTAGTCAACTTTTGCAGTTCTTGTGATAAAGAATCACAGGTAAGACTAAAACGCCATGCTAAATCTTCTCGACTACCACAGAATGCTGTTGAATGTTTATTGATCACAACTGTTTTATACAAGTCGGTATTTGTTGCATTCTTTTTGACACATTTTAAAATAAACTCTTCCAAATATTGATATAGACTTATGATTATTTCCATACCATTTTCTGTTAGAGTTGTAGTACAATCACCCCAAGTAAAGAAGTTATTTTTGTCATGACTTGCGAGATCAAGTGCAGTACAAATGTGATCAATAGTGATTGTAGATATAGATTTACAATTCAGCAGATGAAAAAGATCTTTGAACTGCCAATATGTTTGATTGATTAATGGTGAAATTAATTGTAATTTGAGATATTTAGAAATGATTGAAATAGCATTAGAATATTCTTCACTGTTCGATATAATGAAAACTTCATTTAATGAATAAAAGTTATTTTGTTCAGGAAAATACAATCGGCATGATGAAAGCAAGCTTGTTCTATTCAAATCAATGTGTTGTTGTAGAACATATAATTGTAAATGGCCTAGCCATTTAACATACAAATCAGTATTTGTATTTTTTTCATCGCTGAGTAATTGTAGAATGTTAGCGCACGTACGAAGATCATATTCAACGCAGATATCAAGACTTTTTGCTAATGCACGACAATAATGCGGAATAGTGATACGTGGTAATGTTGGTAAATTAATTACGATCGTTTCATCAAATGTGGCTGAAACTGGACTTATTTGTTGTTTGTCTTTTGAATTATCAACAATGGGAAACTGACGAAGACAATGTTTTGTGTCATCTCTTTGATATGAAAGGATCAACTCGCCTAAATGAGCACATTTTTCATCGTTAAATATTGTTGATACTGGCAGAAGTGGTAATTCTTTGATAGAGTAGTTTAAAGGAAGAACAATTGATGCTTTTTGGCAATGCATTTCAAGTAGAAAATGCTCCCATTCAAGAATTTCTAATAACTGATATTGATGAACATTATTATAAGGAACATCAATGATCAGCGCTGTTGGATGTATAAATTTTCGTATATCTATTCCGAATATTGTTGGTGACATTGCATTTTGAATTGGAGTAAGCTTTGGTGTCCCAATGGCTGGCACTAAAAATTGACTCGAGTTATTTATATTATCTATATGAGATTTTAAATAAGATAAATCTTTCCATATTTCTAAGATTAAGTCAACATCAGGATCTGTAAGCTGAGATGACGACGCAGCTAATTGTAAATGATGCTGACGAATAATCTCAATCATTCGTTTTTCTGTTAGAAATTGTATTTGATTCATTTTGGCAAGAGCAATTTTTTCTGATTCTGAAGAGTATTGTAAAAGCGTAATTTGTTTTTTCCACATCCGCAATTTTGGATCATTACTAATGAAAAGAAGTAATTGAGTATTATTATTGATTGGTAAATATTGTCTTTGACCATCATTTTGAAGAAGGAAAATTGGTATTTGTAAAAGTTTAAGAGAAATTTCTGATGTCATCATTTGAGATAAATGATGAAAAAATTGAGACCACCATTGTTGATCTTGTTGTTGTGTCCAAAGTCTGAACTGTTGTCGAAATGTATTTATTGATATTTCTTCTCGCTGTGGAAAACATTCCAAGACATCTATAATTGAAACTGCTTGAATTTGGAAAGATTTTAAACGTTTCAATGTTGAGAAAGAATTTTCTGGATCAATGACATAAATATTAGCGCATTGGCATAATTGTTCATTTGATGCAAGTAATGCTAGATCTCTATTGATGTAACGAATATTTTTGTCTAAACACGATTATTAACTTATTTTAGACTAATTTTCAAACCAGTACCTACCTGTTGGAATATTCAATAATATTGGAAGATATTTGTTTACGAATGTTTTGATATAATCAATCATAAGAAGCCACCATGATGAATGTTTTCCTTGATTTATATTGAATAATGGACAATAACGATTAAAATCTTTTCTTAGGTCTATATCATTTAATAAAAGATAGACAAAAAGTGCTGATAAATGAGTACGAAGGAATGTATTGAACGGAACATTTTCTTGAACATTCTCTCGATTTGTAACTAATTGAAAATCAGCATTGAACAAAAAATTAAAACCAAGATCACAAACAGGTAAACCTTTATATACTGTGCTTGTCAATTCATAATCGTTTTCACAAGGGAATCCTATAGTTAGTCGTGTTTTAGAAGGTCGTCCTTGTTCAATGTAGTTCGTTACATTAATATAACACGTGTATACTCGAAAAGTGCTATATCCTGTTGATGTATGCAATCGAATGACAGATCCAGAAAGATGTAGAAATGTAAAATCTTCAAATGTAACACTCGATTGTTCTTCTAATTTAGTTGAACCTATAAATTGTTTTTCAATAATTGTTACTTTTTTTTGTCTTTCGTCAACAATTTCGAGTTTTTTCAATTGACGCATATTAAGTAAAATGCATGGATCTACAGCTTTAATAACTTGATCAAGAAATGAATTAGCTTCAGATGTGTGTGCTTGAAATTTTAGCGGCAGATATAGATGAGTATATTGAGGAAATGTTGAAATTTGTTTAGAAATACACTTAGGAAGGTCCTTATCTGTTATCCATAATGGAGTTATATATGACATAGCATCTAGACCTGGTACATGAAAATGAAATTTCCAAGCATGTGAAATAAGCATCGGTTCATTTGAAGCGCCAAAGACCGATTTAAAACCAACACCTTTTTCACCTATATGTTCCTGTTCAATTGTTTTGGTACTCACAGCTAGACTACAAATAGCGAATACGTCTCTTGCTCGAAGACCTTGTTCATTATTTGATAAAAGTATATAGCCATGATTAAGTTCAATACGTAAACATGGTATAATTGAAGGCTCGTAAAAATTATCTTCAGCATTCTATAAACAAAAAAAATAAGTACATTGAAAGAAAATGAAAAGAACAAGAAAACAACCTGAATAAGTTCATGTAAAAAATGTACAGGTGAAGTATAAAGATCAGAGCCAAGATGTTTAAGTGATCCACAAATAGATTTTCGCATATCATTATCATTGAATGTTGTTCGTCGATAATAAATTTGTTGAATACATTTTTCTGCTTGTTCCGAAGTGATTTCATTTGGAGAAATATTTTGTAATTCATCAATTGTATTCTTGTCATTGTTCTTATCAGTAGAAACAAATGTTGATAAGTGTCGAAACTCTACATTTTTCATCGCAGTTGGCATTAATTTTATTTTATCTATTTCTTGATGCAGCATATTGTTCTCTTTTCTAAAATTATCTCTTTCTAACTGAGTACGTTGCAATTCACTTCTTAATTGTAATAATTCTTCATGGAGCGACTGTAATTCTTGTTTTACTTGTTCATTCTCATTTTGAAGTTGTAGAGTATCGAATCTTTTCCATTCTTCATTGAATAATTCTTGAATTTGTTCTTCTTGTATCGATTTCTCATCAAGTGAAGATGCTTTCTGAATTTTTCGATATAAATCAAAGTATGATGAAATTAAATCTCGAGAAAGATTTAAGGAGACAAATGAATCGATACTCTGCTCAGTGGTTTTTGCATCGAAGAATTCTATGTTTTCTTGATTTTTTGTATCATTCCGAAGTTCCTTTTGTTTGCATTTTTGCTCAATAAATTGTATATAGAAATTAATGCATAAGTTTATCAGATTTTTGTAAACTTCGTTCATTTGTAGTAAAATTTGAACAGTTTTAGGAACAGTTGATAATATATTATTTTGATTGATTAATGCCAAACAAACTGAAGGTGAGCTGTAGAGTAGAATGGGTTTTAGAAGAGCACACAGTTCACTTACGAGTACTACACTCGGAGGACAGTGGTATTCTCCTTGAATACATGCTAACAATCGAGAATCTGTTAAAACATCGATGACTTCAGTCAACTGGTACACGTCATCTTGCGTCAATTGCATGCAATTATCCACTGATCCATAAAACAATGATGCAAGATTACTTATACAGGGCTGACTAATGAGAATTTCTGCATGACGAAAACAATCTCTTTCTGAAATGTACACCGCCGATTCGGTTTTGGTTGATCTGATAACAATAGAAAGCATCAGTTTTAATACTGATGCCTCATCATGGATGATTGTACTTACTCAGAAGCATGATACTCATTTTCTTGTTCTTCTTTGCTTTCTTCCCATATTTTTTTGAGAGTTTGATAAGGTGATAGAAGCCATATAATCGCATTCAAAATTTTACGTGCAGTCAATGCATCATGAGTTAAATAATTAGTAACATATTTATATTCGTTTTGATCAGCCTTTAGAATAGTGTTACAAAGTCGAAGGCCAGATAGTGTTAGTGGATATTGCCGCTGACTTACAAGCAACAAACTCAATGTGTATATCTCCGAAGTGTGATTAAATAAGTCATGACGTAAGTAAAAGTGAGCACCTATTTCACATATAGCTAACACTATTGAATAGATTAAAGGTATTGATCCATCGTCATTATTATTTTTAAGTAAATAAACAGCTAAATGAACCAATTGAGCGGCAATTGTGTTTCCATTTTCTAGATCATGGTTTTGAAAGCCACATACGCATAGTTTTCTATATGCTTTCAGCTCTCCATCATTCATACATTTGAAATCATCAAGAACAATATTAGCAATTTGACGAGCAGCATTAACAGCCGCTGATGATTGTTGAAGATCGTGAAAAAGTGGCTCTAATCGAATTTTGGCTCTCCGGTGATAGTGTGATTTTAAGTCTCTTCTGGTAACGAATATGTCACGAATTGTTCGTTGGACAGGTGATAATAGTTTTGCCATGTCGGCAAGAAGTTGTTTGTCACTGGCTCGATATTTTGATGATTCTTTACGAAAAAGACCTTGCATCAATGCCTGAAGGGTACTATCATTTAAAATAGTGCCTTCGTCCACAAGTAATGTATTGTCTTGGAGATATTTTGAAGAATTTAATAATAAGAAGAAATTTCGAATATGAGTATCGTATTCACGAAAAGTATGTTCTTGATAATCTTGAATAGATCGATGATGAGGCAGCCAATTTTCGAATAGTCGTGCTTCTTTGACAAGAAAACAAAGTACAGTTAATGTGAAGCTGGATGATAGTGAATTGAGTGCGGTGAATTGAAGAAATATGTTAAGCAGTGGTGGCTCTAAAAATATTGACCCACTCAACAAAATATGGGAAGAAAGCAAAGAAGAACAAGAAAATGAGTATCATGCTTCTGAGTAAGTACAATCATCCATGATGAGGCAT